ATATATATATATATATATATATATATATATATATATATATATACATACATACACACATACATTTATACATTCACTTGTATATTTCAATGTATGTAATTGCCTGAAATTAATAAATAAATAACAAAGAACCTCCCTCGCCTTGAAAGCGAAGAGCCATCATTGTCCAACTTAGGACGAACTTTGACCCAGCAGCCCCTGACCAGTTAAAAACACTCCCACTTTCTCTGATAAACTATGTTAATATATATGTGGGGTTTCCAGTATTATTATTATATTAAGGTCTGAGGTGACCTTTAAAGCTCCCTAACTATGCTGCCCAGGTACAGATTTCTATTCATCACAGGCTCTTTCATTAGTTGATTTATTTTATCAACTACAGCTGTTGATTTTTAGTTGATAAAACAGCAAAATATAAAAAAAATAGATTAAAAAAAAGACAAAAAACTGCTTAGATGTAACATTATTTCCAGAATCTTACTATGTGTATGGATTGTTTAGACAGATTGTCTCTCTGCAGCTCTACAGGCGGTTATCTGAGGCGTGGTTCAGTCATACCGGCTACTTACCGGTCGAACTTCTCCAGAGGTGTTGGTGTACTGACGCGCCAGACCAAAGTCCAGCATGTAGCACTTCCTGTAGGTGGAGGGGAGCCGGCCCATCGCAAAGTTTGACTGGTAGGAAAAGGACGGCAAATTCAGTTTCTTAACCTAAAAACAGTTCAATATTTTTCTTCTTTTTTTTTTTTTGAAATTCTTTTGATTTTCGTTTGAAATTATTATCATTTTTTTTTATTTAGTTTGCAGAAAGTTTTGTATGGAGGGAATTTTGTTTCATTATTGTTGCAACCAAAGAAGAAGTTTCTTAAATGAAAATAGAAAATAAAATAAAATCCAGAAATAAAAATTGGAAAAACTTGAGAAGAACATTGAGAGTAACATTTTGAGTAACATTTTGAGTAACATTTTGAGTAACATTTTTGCAATTTTTCCAAACTATGTTTCATTTTAATTTATTTACAGATTTTATATGTTCAGATTTTAATTTTAATTCAATTTTGTCTTAATCAGATGGAAGAAAAAAAGAAACGCTGGAAAAAAAGAAAAAAAAAAGTTTTACGAGTTGCATTTTTTTCAAATACGATATAAAAATGCACTGTAGGGAGGGGGGGGGGCGAACAGTTCCTGATATCAAATCCTGTCCTGATAAGATTTCTATTTAATATAATTAACAATTCTTCAATCGCTGTGATGCAATATATTCCCAAATAATGTAACCATTTGAAGATAAAACACAACTTATTCCTTCGATATAAAAATATAATTCTTCTTAAAACGAAATTCTAAAAAAAAAAATCACCAGTTTACACTCCAAGAAAGCTTTTAATTTGGCATCAATGTAAACTGATGGGTACAGATTATATTGATTTGTATCGATGTATTGTTCTACTTGTGAATACTGGTTATGACATCATTCTAGGCAGTCTAAGACTTTCCTGTCGCATCAGAAATAAATGTTTAATCTTCTTATCCCTAACTGGATGTCTCACTTTAAGATTGCAGTATTTCTCACACAGGGTTGCTTTACCAATCTTTTTTAGTGAACCCGTTGCTTTGCAATTAAAAGCATGAAATACAGAGGACTATATTAATATTAAATTCTACGGGTAAAGATTGTTGGAAAATCTCAAAGAGCTTTGAAGTCTTTTCCAAATCTAAAGTTAGAGATAAAAAGAAAACCGGCCAGAGCTTCTTCCTTCTTCACTGTTATCCATTCTAAATATTTTCTGAGCAGCTGGAGACTCATAAAATGGTTTTAGACTCATGGATCCATCCTGAATGCAGTTTGATTAAATCCTGCAGTCTTTTTTTTATCCTCTAATCTGCGTTTCCTAATCCTACCCCCCTAATCAGCGCCGTTCTATAGCTTTTTTTCCACTGTTATTATGTAAATTGATTCAGAACAAAGGTTCCCAATCATGTTTCCTCCATATTTCTTTGTTTCACTGAAAAAAACAAGGCAAATATATGATGTGAAGGAAAATGAAACTCTTTTTGTAGTAAACAGAGATTTTCCAACAAAACCATCCAACGTGGTTCATTATTGGAGTTATGTTTTCTTTGATTTAAAGGCTTAAAGATCGACCGTCTGTTTCTTCGTACCGGTTTGATGTCGCGGTGCAGGAATCCCACTGAGTGGATGGCTTCGATGGACTCCAGGATCTGCTTGCCGAGTCGCAGGGTGGTGCTCATGGTGAAGGTTCCTCTGGGCTGACTCCTCCGTAGATCGGCCAGGTTTCGACCCTGAAACAACATATGGAGGAAATCAAACTGCCCCTTCGATACAAGAAGCGTTGATCATGTTTGCCTCAGCTTTCCAATTATTGGTGGTTTTCAACATGCAGAATTTGATGCATCCAACAGAACAAAAGAGATTCTCCATGTATGTAAAAAGATCCAACACCCATCTATCAAAACATGCAAACATGCGACTAAATGCTTCCGGTTCTGCTGAGCTGGAAGGTGAAAACCACTTCAAATACCCAAATAGGCTCTCTGTGGCTTTTATGTGGTGCATTACAGTAAAAACTTCAATGAGGATGGGTTTATACTATGCCACAACATTATTGATCTCAAAAACCTTTAATTTCCTATGCAGCACATTACTTTAACTGATCTATATAGAGTAGATACAGCAAGCGATAAAGAGACATTATAACTTAATTT